ATTTGAAAAACATCATTTATCACCGGCAAGTAGCTCCTGATACCCACACCAGTATGTACTCCCTGCAAGGATGGCTTAGCTATCTGTGGATAGCAAAATATTACTTAGTCTACAAGTTGTATACATCATCCTATTTGTCTGCCAAGTATAAAAGGATAATTACATGTTATGAAAGGATCTGTCTGTTCTACAATGTCCATGTTCTGAGAAACTGGCTGACTTTGCATATGTAGTATAAAAGGAGTCAAGTGAGCACTTTATGGGATTATTTGCACTGAAGTGTCACTGAAACTAACAAGAACATTATTGGGATCCTGTAAGGCAGAATAATAGTTGTAAGGCAGTGGTACGTAAAGTGGAAATTATGGGATATTTCTTTGTAGTCATTGTGTGGGCTGGGCCAATGATGAAGATGGTGTCAGGGATTTCAGTTGCTTATTAATCTTCGTTAGTAAGCATCGTTGATCTTCACCCCAAATAAACTATTGGTACCTTCTAAACCAGCAGAAGATAAGTGGTTAAGGAAAGATAAGACAGCATCTAAGAATTAAAATTACTGAATAAGCACAGAGAATAAACAATGGTTCTCCATGAAAGTAGGCAAGGACCTGTTTGGAAAAGGTGATTAAATAGAAAAGGGACTGGAGAGGGTCAGGGGTGAATAGAGTCAAAGTGCATTATATATTATATACATATATGAAATGTCATAATGACACCCATTTTTCTGTACACTTAATATTCTAATGAAAAGAAACTCTCAGGGGCTGGGAAGGTGGCTCAGTGGTACAGTGCTTGCCTTGCATGCATGAGGCCCTGGGTTCGATTCCTCAGCACAGCATAAGCAAAAAAAAAAAAAAAAAAGCCGGAAGTGGTGCTGTGGCTCAAGTGGTAGAGCGCTAGCCTTGACCTGAAGAGCTGAGGGACAGTGCCCAGGCCCAGAGTTCAGGCCCCACGACCGAACCACCCCCCTCAAAAAAGAAAAAGAAACTGTCAAAGCTGTGATCGCAGCTACTCAAGAGAGAGAGTTCAAAGCCAGCTCAGAGAAAGTTAGCAGGAACTTAATCTCAAAAGGAGGATGAAAGTTGGGGGAGTGGCTTAAGTGATAAAATGTTTGCCCAGAAAGTGTGAAGCCCTAGATTCAATCCCCAGTACCTCAAAATACTTTTTGGGGGGAGTCCGGTCGTGGGGCCTGAACTCTGGGCCTGGGCACTGTCCCTCAGCTCTTCAGCTCAAGGCTAGTATTCTACCACTCGAGCCACAGCGCCACTTCCGGCTTTTTTTCTTTTTGCTTATGTGGTGCTGAGGAATCGAACCCAGGGCCTCGAGCATGCAAGGCAAGTGCTCTACCACTGAGCCACCTTCCCAGCCCCCTCAAAATATTTTTGTATGTTTTTTATTATAAAAATGCTGTACAGAGGGATTACAGTTACATGGACAAGGTAATGAGTACATTTTCTATTGAGCATTGTTGCCTCCTCCTTTGTTTTCCCCCTCTCAAAATGTTTTTCAAATGGTGGGTTTCATGAATAAAGAAATATTCATTGCAAATATAAGGATCACTTTGCATCTATCCCATTTAAAGAGAATTAAAAATTTATGTTAAAGGAAGGTAAAATTAACATAGATATACACACTTTTTAGATACAAGAAAATAGTGCAAGGCTTCTGAAAAGCAAGTAGCCACATGTCAAGAACCTAATCAATGAAGCCAGATGCCAGTGGCTCACAACTATGATCCTAGCTACTCAGGAGGCTGATATCTGAGGACCACAGCCAGCCTAAGAAGGAAAGTACATGAAACTCTTAGCTCCAATTAACCACTAAAAACCAGATGTGGAGCTGTGGCTCAAGTGGTAGAACACTACCAGACCCAAGTTCAAGCCTCAGGACCAGCACACACCAAAAAAAAAAAATGTTTCTTCTTAGTGAAATACATCTAACATAAAGGAAATTGTACAATAAGGATAAATTAATTGATACAACATCATTGTAGCATCGCTTATAATAGTAAAATAATAGAAATATTGAATTATCCAGTTATAAAGAATGGTTAAACATATGTCTTCATAGAAGGCAACATTATATAATACCAAGATAATAATTCTGAAGACTTTAAAATGCTTAAATTATAATATTAAGAAAATATAGTAGGACTAGGATTATGGCTTAGTGATAGAGTGCTTGCCTAGCATGTATGAAGCCCTGGGTTCATTTCCACAGTACCACATAAAAACAAACAAAAAAAGTCATTAAATAATCAACAAAAGAAAATATACCATAAAATTACAATATACCAGAAAAATGTAAGAAAATATTCTGGTATTGCAGGTATATATCACCACACTAGCTTTAACAAACGTTTATAAATACACAGAGAAATATATATGTGTGCATATATAGTCTGTGTTTGTATAGTTATATGAAACATATGTGACATACATACTAAGTTTGAACATGTGCATACTTGGCCAAAAATGACCATACTCTTATCTACCCCGTATAGTAGCCTTGAGAATCAGTTTTATATAAATTCTAAGATTTAGTAAAAATATGGATGAGCTATTTTGCTTGCTTTCTTTCCATAAATTTCTAAAAGTAAATTTATTGTATGTGTCAAAGCATAAAGCATCATATTATAAAGCATAACTAGATAGAAAAAAAGATCACTATATGAATCAAATTAATGTTTACTATTTCAAAAAACAACCCTTTTGTTTTGTTTTGAGGGCAAAAGAAGCTAAGATCTAAGTTAGCATGAATGTAGTATTTTATTACCTATAGTCCTTGGGTTGTATATTAGATCATTATACTTCTTATTTCCATTGATTTTATAATGTTTTATCACAGGAAATATATTGTGATTTGATATTCATCACCAAAGCTACATTCTGTACAGAAACACATAAGTTTTGGTATTGACAACATAGCTAACTAAAAGAGCCTACATCATTATTCTTATTTAATATCAAACATCTCAAATCACACAGTCTGCTCAATTATATTAGTGTATCTACTTAACAAATAGTTCTTATCATATGAAAGCTATTGTCCTGTACCCATTGAATAAGAACCTTATGAAGAAAGCATTCTAACTGTCTTAATCCTACAAGAAACCAATGTTCACAGAGGTTAAAGTTATTTAAATAGATTACACTGATAGATATGGTTGAGTCAAGATCTGAACTCAGGCCACCTGGCCTTACAGTCCAAGTCCTGATTGCAGTCCTCTTTTTTCCCTGCTTAGTCATTACATGTATTACCAGCATCTGTGCTGTTTTTGCATTGTGAAGATTTCATGGATCAAAGTGTGCAGCTCTTGGTTCAAAACAGGTCATTCTCTAGGCTCCAGTTATGATTCAAAATTCAGTTCCCTTAGCCTTAGACAAATGTCAACCATGTCACAACCAGATGCTAGTCACAAAAAGACATCCCTTGTGTTTGTAATGACCCAAGGACAATCTCTGCAGCCTACAAAGAATAGCTGACCATAGCATGGTCAGTGTTTCCAATAGATGCTGAGAAATCCTGGATCTTGGCTAAGTTGCTTCATGATTCAAAAGTGTTTTGATGACTATTTGCCTTTATACTTGTACCCATATTCTCATGCCACATGTATGTGTAACTGCTTCAATTAAAATATTAATACCACAAAATAAAACAGCATTCATGTATACTTTACTATAAGATTATTCTTGAGTCCTTCTCAGATAAAAGATTCTTCTCCATCTCTTTCCATCTGAGATTGCAAGGCAAATTTATAGAAATCTGAAAATTGTTTACATCTTAATAGTTAAAACTAGGTAAAGTGGCTTAAACCTGTAATCCTAGCTACTTAAAGTGTGGAAGTAGGGGATCAATGTTTAAGGCAAGGATAGTCATAAACATTTACAATACTCCATCTCACTCAATGGCTGGGCGAGGTAGCATGTGCCTGTTATCCCAGCTACAGGGAAAGCACAATGTCTGGGCACAGTGTTGCACTCCTATCATCCCAGTGATGGTGGATGCACACATAGAGGGTTCCCACCCAGGCTAGCTTGGACATAAAGTGAGACCTTACTTGGAAAATAATCAACATCAAAATGGAGTGGTGGCGTGGCTCAAGTGGTAGAGTAACTACATAGCAAGTGATTGCATGTTTAAATAAACATTAAATAAGAGAAGAGTCAAGACAGTCAAGATGCCATTTCATATATACCATGTGACTTTAAGCAAGCCTCTAAATTTCTAGCTCAATTTCCTATTGTACAAAATAAGACATTTCCTTCTCTATGAAATAGAACATACCTCACAGGGCTGCTAGAAAAAAAATACTTAATAGATTGACTTAGCCAACATAATTCAGTAAAGGTTAGATATTATCATTTTTATTTCCAGTTCTTAGCTACAAAATAAATCTTTCCTTTTTACATGAAACCAAAACAAAACAAGGAATTACATTAAATACTAAAACTGGCATGGAACTGGAAGGCCCCTTTTTAAAGATTTTTGTGTTCATCAAACCAAATTATTAATTTAACAAAGTTCAAAGTTTAAGTTACACAGTTTATATTTGTAATATTTGAACTAAAATATGTATCCTAAATACTATTATAATTAAAAGATTAGATTTCATATAAAATTCTGTTACCATGAAAAAATATTCTCCAACTTAAATACATAAGCATCAAAAATTGAATTTCTTTGTATGCTATGTGTTATCTCATTCTAAAGAGGGAGATTATCTTTTCTAAATATGATTGTTTCTATTTCATGCCTACTCATTATTTAAAGCATATCTAAAAGTAATGCACAATGAAATCAAATTACAGGGGAACATTAATCCCATATCTGGGATAAAGTGGTATATTTTTATAAATGATTCTACTAATCACCAAAGCTTTATTCATCTCTTTATTTCTTTCAAAATTGTCTCTTTTCTTGACAGGAGCTGTGTAAAATATCGAAAGGCATATTAAATAAGTAATTCGTGTTTTCTTTCTTGCCTTCTTTCTTGATAGTCATTCCCAACACAGCACTGCAACCCGTCAGCCTTCAGTGACTCTTCAACGGGCCATCTCCCTCGAAGGGTAAGATACTGTGCTTTCTCTTAAATTATACTATGCAGTATAAAGTCCTGCCCCTCTCTCCCTCCTTTCTCTTCATCTTCTTTCTCCCCCTCCCACTCATCCAACAATTATCTGTGAAGCTCAAGTTATGTACCAGGCACCAGCTTTAACAAGAAAATTAGGTTTCATCTTACCCTTCAGAAGGCCCATTGTGTAATGTGAATGACAGATATATGAACATACACTTGTAGTACAGCATAAACATTATACAAATCAAGAGGAAAGGATTCACGATTGATCGAGGATCCAAGAAGTGTGCTTGACAGAGAATAGGCAGGAAAGGGGGAGGAGGTTCTGGTTAGGGCAGTTTCAGAGATAGAGCTCTTAACTTCTTTTGAGATACATCACTAGACTCAAATATAGCTCTCAAGATGAGAGCTGAATTGTTGGTAGGTATCTGCGGAACATCACAAGTTCATGGAGATTCTTTCAAGGCAAGAGAGAAGAAATGAATATTTAGCATAAGACAAGTACAACAATAGCCCTATGACACATATACCTTTGTTGACTCTAAAAGAGGTTAAGAAAATGTTTCCTAAGGATACTTACAAAGTAGGACAGCATGGATTTGAAATGAAATCTGACTCCAATAGACAGGTCTAACCCTATAATATGAATGAAAAGCTTTATTGAGCTGGAGAGCACTGGTTATACAATTTATAAAAACACGTCCAAGCCTAGAATTGCCTAGGGCAAAAAAATATGATAAACAGTGATTAGTTCTAATATTAGAAACCATTTAATAGGTCAGGAGCCAGTAGCTCACATCTATAATCCAATTTATTCAGGAGGCTGAGATCTGAGGATCTTGGTTCAAAGCCAGCTCAGGTAGAAATATCTGTGTGACTCTCATCTCTAATTAACCACCCCAAAATTCCCTTAGTTGAGCTGTGGTTCAAATGGTAAAGCATTAGCTTTGAGCACAAAAACTCAAGGACAGTGCCCAGGCCCCAATATCAAGCCCCAGGAATGGCACATGCAAAAAATTAAATAAATAAGAAGAAAGAGAGAAATTAAGAGAGAAAGAGAAAATCATTTTGGTCATTAACATGAAAATTTCCTCTCACAATGCTAAATAATGACATTTCTACCTAAAGCTATTTTAAGCCTTTCCTTTCTTTTTTTTATTAACAAAATCTTAGGAGCACTTGTAAATAAGCATTTTGTTTTGATATTCTCCCTTGAGTTCAATGATCTCTGCTGTAAACATAATCTCAAATTCTAATTCTCTGATGAGATGAAGCTGCCAAAGGGAAACACAGTATTGACCAACTTTTACAAAATCAGAGATCCATAGTAGACATTCAATAAGCACAAGTTGAATATACACTTAGTCAACTATTCTTTAAAGAAAAAAGCATAGTATGTAAAGATAATATAAGTCAGTCAATCAATCAACAAATCAATTGCCAGTTTCTTGGGGCTCATGCCTGTAATCCTACTTACTCAGGAAGCTGAGATCTGAGGATTACAGTCAGAAGCCAGCTGAGCAGGGAAGTCCATGAGACTTTTATCTACAATTAACCACCAAAAAGCCAGAAGTGGAGTTTGGCTGAAGTGGTAGAGTGTTAGCCTTGAGCTGCAAAGCTCTGAGCACCCAAGCTCTGAGTTCAAGACTAGCACACACAAAAATAGTATTAAACCCATATTAATTTGAAGACCTACTTTGAACATTAATTCTAAAACACATTGTTTATTTTAAAGATTTCTAAAGACAAAACAAAATCACTGAGGACAAAAATCTCACTTTTAGAAGGGAAATTTTTAGCAATTTTCTATAAATCCCAGAATATGAAGGTTCATATTATATGTGTCCAGCTGGCTATCAGTCTAAGTGATAATATAGCACATAATTATTGTCACTGAATACACTGTGGGAAAGTTCTTTTTCCTTTACATAGACCAGGTTTAGCAGGTTTCCCATTAAGGTGTTAAACTGCTAAGTTTAGGCAATTGGCTGAAATTGGAAATTCTATTGTTTTAAAATTCTTCTTCCTAATGCTTTTATGAAAAGAAACTACATAGGATATTTTTTAAATGGATGTCATTTAAAAGGCCATATGGTTATATAATTCTCACCTCCATTTCTATTTACTTGACATAAAATAAATGAAGATAATTCCAATTTCCCATTTATTTGATCCATAGTGACAACCAAACTGTCTAACTGAGCCCTCCACCATAACCACTGCTGTTTAAAACTGATATTGGAATAATCTATAACTATGCTAGACAAAATAAGATAGAATAATATCCCCACAAACTGGGTGAGCTCTCTGCTTCAGGTTCAACTTGACCGGCACAGCGCTCACCTGAATCTCCTCCTTTCCTCCTGAAACTCTATAAAAGGAAGCTAATGGCCAGGTGCCAGTGGTTCACACCTGCAATCCCAGCTACTCAGGAGGCTGAGATCTGAGGACTGTGGTTCAAAGGCATCCCCAACAAGAAAGTATGTGAGACTCTCAACTTCAATTAACCACCAAAAGCTGGAAGATATGGCTCAAGTGGTAGAGCATCAACCATGAGAGAGGTGGGGGGAAAAAAATCTAAGGAAGAGGGACCAGACCCTGAGTTCAAGCCCCAGTACTGGCACAAAAAAAAAGAAGAAGCTAATATAATTTTATAAGTCACTATAGTGACTTATAGTGACAAAGGAAATGAAAGGTATTTCAAGAACAGAATGTCACCCTAGAAAACAGACAAGACGTTAAGGGATGAGGCAGAGCACAGAAGTCCCAGGATTAGATCTTTCACGGAAGATGGGCACTTTTCACAAGGACAGTTGTTTCCGTGTATCTGTAGGAAATACATTCCAAAACCCCAGTGGAAACCTGAAATTGCAGATAGTTCTGAGCCCAGTAATGGCTGCTTTTCCCATCTTAACTAAGCATTTATTATACACAGTGGCCACAGCTTTTACAGCCTAAGATAACAACAGCAAAACCAGCATAATGTGTGTCTTTCTTTACACTGCAAGGATAGAAGATTCGTTCTGGGGTAAAGAACCCTTTTCCTGCCAAGGGCCATTGGGATTTTAAAGAATCATTCATGGGCCAGATAAAATAATCAATGCAGGCAGCTGGCAGCTACAACTAACAAGACATCCCTGAGAAGCATACATGTCCATCCCATTGTGATGATGTGGACTGTATACAGCCTGGGATCAAAGTTCTCCACTCCTGATGTCAACTTAAACATACTTTTTACTTTTCTTATTAAGTTTTGAAGTTTTACCTTTTTTTTTGCCAGTCCTAGAGCTTGAACTCTGGGCCTAGGCACTGTCCCTGAGCATCTTTTGCTCAAGGCTAGTGCTCTATCAGTTGAGCCACAGCTCTACTTCTGGCTTTTTGGGTGGCTAATTGGAGATAAGAGTCTCAAGAACTTTCCTGTCTAGGCTAGCTTTGAACCACAATACTCAAATTTCAGCCTCTTGAGTAGCTAGGATTATAGGCATGAGCCACCTGTGCCTGGCTGAAGTTTTACCTTTATAATGAAAGGAAGCACTTTTTGGCTTTTCTTGGGAATATTCAAAACAGCTAGCATCACTATTGAGTGCTTTGGGGCCGTTATTAATTAAGTAAAGACACCAGTGTTGTGACAGCTCTTGTTGATCTGATAAACAAGGTAACTTCTAAGTACCTAAGGAACAGTGTGGCTGCACTGGTTAAATGGGATAATTCACATCCTCCGCAGACAGAGCTAAGTCTCCTATTGCTGCTCAGAATGGTACACAAAAAACAGCGATATGGAGACAGCTGTACTCTGTGTGAATGGCATCTCCTATAGGTGCTGTCCTGTGGCTGTCACCACAGAAGCACAGCCAGCATGAAGGGACAGACAACTCAGAGAAGATTAGATCTACCTGGCAGGACCCAAGAAGTTCAGAGACTTCTGAATCATGACAAAAGATTAGACTGAATACGATTCGGAGAATAAGAATAGGGAACCCCACTCAGCACACACACACACACACACACACACACAACCCTCCATACAGAGTACTTACCTAAAAGGATCTCTAAAGAACTGTGCATATTCTTCTAGAAAACATAGCTGAGTTAAATTGAGTATTGACCTCCACAGGAGAGCCTTTTACCATGTGCCACTCAGAGGGAAGTTTCCAGTTTTCTCAGTGAATCTGAACCCTTTAAGAAACTTTTCAGCCAGATGCTGGTGGCTCACTACTGTCAGCCTAGCTCCTCAGGAGATTGAGAATCATGGTTTAAAGACAGTCCAGCCAGGGAATTCTGTGAGACTCTTCAAATAACCACCAAAAAGCCAGAAGGAGAGGTGTGGCTCAATTGGAGTCAGCCTTGAGTGAAAACGCTGAAGCTCAATGCCTAGGCGTGAGTTCAAGCCCCAGTACTGGCAAAAAAAAAAAAAAAGGCCTTATGCTTATACACTTTACATGCTTGTGCCTTGCCAGCCAGCTTTTCTACTACTTCATTCTTAAATATAACCAGAGAGCCACCACATGGTCCCAAACACTTTAGCAAAAACTACACAATGATAGAGATAAAATGAGAATACTCATTTCAACAGGAAAATTACTTAGCTGGGGCAGGGGTGGGGGGTGAAGGGGAATGATGGACATTGCAGGGAAGGGAAGTAGGAGAATAACGAGGGAGGGGGAAACAATATTCGACAAGAAATGTACTCACTCCCTTACAAATGTAACTGTAACTCCTCTGTACCTCACCTTAACAATAAAATTAAATTTAAGAACAAAACAGGAAAATTAGGTTAAAGAAACAGGTAAACAAAATAGAATGTAAAGAAACACTCTATATAAGCATTTTCTTGTACCACTAGAATCAGAACTGGAACGCTTTACAAAGCTAGAAGAGAGGTGTCACTAATAAGAATGTGTTTGGAGAAAGGCAGAGGCTTCAAAAGGAAAGAATAGAAGAAAATCATGTGCTAAACATCTGCTAAGATTAAGGAGCATCTTCAGCTACACA